AGACAGTGCTTTTCCTGCAAGAACATAAATGATATAAATTTAACCATAAAATGCTATTTTATACATTGAAAAAAGATCTCTACTCTAACTTTGTTTCACAACTTAATCCATTAAAAATGAGACAAACAAATGATAGAGAAAAGGTGTTATTTCTTAATAGATCTATTCTCAGTAAAATAATAAAACAAATTATCAGAATGTTTAAAACTTAATTAATATTGCAGAAAATTATACAATACTAGAACGTTAATAAGCAAAATTATTTTGTTTCATGCACAATTAAACATTGTTTAAAATATTTAAAACTTTATTGTAAGACGTGAAACTTCTTGTCTTATTCTTATCTTGAAAAACAAAGTCTTCTTTTCATTCAACTTTGTGTAATCAGAAATTCCATGTGTTTTTAAATTTTAAAGAAATATACAAAATTATATTCACTCTGGAAATACATGTATATTTTTAAAAATCTATTTACTTATTTTGTTTCAGTAAGATTCATATAAAGTGAACAGAAACACAGTAAATTCACTTAAATCTATTAGGCAAAGTCCAAAAACCCATGACACATATATGGTTTTTAATTTCATTCACTTTCTATAAATTCACTTAAATCTATTGTGCAGAGTCCAATAACCCGTTAAACATATGGTTTTTACTTTCATTCACTTTCTATTTTAAATACTTGAAAACCATAGCTTGGTTTAAAAGAATTATGTGTCTGACTATTTTTATGTAAAAGGAAATAAAATTGGGGGAATGCTATTTTTTAAATTATCATATTATAATTGCAAAGACATCCCATTTAAGGTATTCGATGCATAATGAAGTGATTTTGAACGATTTTAAATAATTTTAAACTAGTTAAAACGCATTGCTAGATAACGATAAAAGTGACATGAACCAAATTCACAAGACTGATGACATGTAAGGAGACTGTCATTTTGCACATTTAAAGTGTTTGAAGAGTTATCTGCCCTTGAGCTAAAGAGGAAATTCTTGATTTCTCAAAATTCGTTCTGTAAATAATTCATTTTATTTTATATTTAAATAAAGACAGAGTCAATGCGTATTTTCACCAAGAGATTTCTTTGAAATTCAAATTACTTTTTTACAATATCTTATAAAAACATGCGCTGTTCATAGACTTCAATGCAAAATTCAAGGTGCAATTAATTGGAGAATAATGAAAATTTTGTAAATTCCTTTGGTGGAGCATTTTTATTTGATAACATCTTCAAAATGCTACCATGATTAAGAATATCGGACCATTCATTTATTAGGTACAAAATATGGTCGTTATACATCGAATACCTTAAAATATAGTTTCAGTCTTGAACGACCAATATTAGTTCCATGGCACCTGATCCCACCTCTGATTTTTCGGAGGTCGTGTTTGCTCTGCTCCTGTTTTGTAATGTTTAAAAAACTTTGTTTTTGAATACTGCATGTTCGTTATCTCCATATAATTCAATTCCTTCTGAACTATATTATATGACTTTCTTCTTGTGTATTTTTTAAGAGAAAACGTGTATAAAATTGTTTTATTTGCTAATTAAATTCTGCAAATTTAAAGTTTAAAATTGTTCAAACATGCATATTGTGACTATTTAGAGAATTTCAAAACAGTCTGAATTTTTTTAATGATTTTATAAATTCTCTGCTTGTAAACATTTTTAAAACGGATAAAATCGTCAATAACAAAGAATGGAGGCGTACATGGCGAGGACGATCCCCGCTCTGAGAAAAGACATTTCTCAAATCATAAAGTTCATAAAAGCTATATTTTTTCAGAATTATATAGTTTATATCATCTTTTACACATTTAATTCTGTATTTTAAAATTTTATTAATAATTTATATTTCACACATGTTCTTAAGATATGTGAAAACAAAACAGAAAAGGATTCACGTATGATTCGAACTCTCTCCGTAGCGCAGGGTTTGTCGCAAGAACGACGGAGTTTACCACAACGCTACAAAGTACAATAATGTATATATGCGTTATGGATGTCTGTTATTGTGATTTAAATGAAAGAGTTTGCTGAAGCGTACATTCTTACAGCAATGATTGATTTTCATATAAAATGGGTTCAGACTCCATTTTTTGGACAAATGGAATAGATTTCACATTAATTTTACGTTTCCATCATTTAAGCGTTAACAAAGAATGGAGATTTGACCCATTCATGTTCGAAATTCGTTCAGTAAAATAAAATGATAAAGCGCAGTCTTCTACTTATGACTTTTTCTTTGCTCTTCATTTATTTCTTTGTGATTGGTTCTTATATCACAAAAATTATATTTTTTTTCCCTACGCGTGCCCGTGTTATGAATATTTTCAATCAACAGAATTTGTCTCTACTATATAATACTTATGTATGCTAAGCTTCCATATATTTTGTGGACATATTCATCAGACATCGTATAAGTTATCTTACATTGAATTTTGAAATCTACTGTTGTAAACAATATATTAGAAAATAAATACTGTAAAACGAGAATATTTGGTGCACTACTAATTTTAGCGCCTTTGGCGCAAGAGCCCATGAACGCTAAAATTTATTGTGCGCTAACAGATTTCTAAATATTTTGTGTATGTGAGTTCAAAGCTTTTCATAAGTATATGTAAACCGGAACGCGCGTTTACGTAATGTAGAAGGGTCTTTGGATTTTATATTTAACACTTGCACTGCACAGGGTAGGATCGATCGAGAAAGTTCTGTCAAATTATACTTTAATTAAACTATTGTTACCCAGATAGTTGTTATCAGGGGGTCGTAACATAAAGGCTACTTAAGTCTAAGACCGTGCTTAAGTAGGACTTAAGTACAGTCTAAAACGTAAGACCGTAACTAGAAGCGTGCTAAGATTTGGTAATCTTAGCAGAACTTAGGCGGCCGGTAGAGGTGACTTAAGTATATCTTAACTTTCATGTACATATATTTAGAATTATTTAATGTTGACTATCGATGTTAAAATATTCCTCTGTTCATATTATGCATTAAAGAAAATAATTATCTCTATTTGACGCTGATTTAAGAATTTTACTTATTCGTTGGGGGGGGGGGGGGGGGGTTGATCACTGATTCCAATATCACTCCCAACAGAGCATACATGTAAATACAAAATTTAATTTTAGGGATACGTCTGAAATTAGTGGGACCTCGGTTATAGAAGTAAATTGAACACAGTAATAAACCATGGATCTGTATGTTCGTTTTGAAAAAATGAGTTGAAATGATTTGTTAAAAACAGAAAAGAAAGAGGATGATGACAGTAATAATAATATTATATAAAAAAAAAAGTATCTGTAGAACGCGACAAGTGCGGATTTAGACAGGGCTCACTACAGTTCGAGAGAGAGAGAGAGAATTGCTGATAAGTGGAGACATACGGAAAAATATCCCGATTTTTTTTTTTTGTATCCTTGATTAAATTGCAAATGAGTATATCATAAAACTTCTGCAGTTTTTGCTTCTGACATACATGGCCTGAAACATAGCGGGGATTCAACATGTATTGAACTCTTCAGAGTTTCAAATTTAAGTAGATAGACGGTCGATTATCTTTTATTGTCTGCGATAATAACAGGGTAAGTGAACATTTGTCAAAACAAAAGAGTTACAAAAGGAAAACTGAAAACATCTCAGGTGATAAAATAATTGCCGTAAATTTACAATGAACCACAACTCGCCACTTTCTGACCGTGCGGTATTTGCTTCCAAACATTCCGATTAATTCATAACATAATTATAAATTTTAATACGAAATCTAATCTAACATAACTTAAACCAATAGGCAAGGACGTCAACTTCAATATGTAATGAATTAAAACCCTAACCGAATCACTTTTAGCAAAAATATCTATATAAAATCAAAAAACATAGGTTGGCTCATATGAAATATTTTAAACATAAGTTTGACTTAGCTAAGACCTAGCTTAGTTCGCTTTATGTTACGGTTTAAGACATACTTAAGTAGTACTTAGACAGGTCCTAAGATTGTGCCTAAAACGTACTTACGACCCTACTTAAGTCAAAAACTTAGCAAGCTTTATGTTACGAGCCCCTGATTCTTATCATTAGCACCTTCAAAGTTTGGCTTCTCAATCATCTATCGCCTCGAGGTAAACATTACAATGAAGCATGCATGGTGATTGATCTTGCAGACAGTACCGTTTATCCAAGTAACTTTCTTTCGAAGCATGGATTGTTTTAATATAAATAAACTGCGTTAATACACCATTTCTTTTATTTTAAATAAAAATAAAATAAATACTGTGTAACGTCCGTGTCATTGCGACACCACGGTAAAGTTGACGAATGTTTACTCATATAGTGATATCGTGTTTCCGTGCTTGACTAACCAAAAAGTCAAATACGGGTATGGATTAAAAACAAAACAAAATATCACATTTGTATATTTTTATAAGCGCTAAAATTTATTTGCGCCAATTGCATTACCACTTGCGTTTGCGCTAAAATACGTATGCGCAAAATTTTCTCGTTTAACAGTAGATAAATTGATGAGTAACGTTCTCCGAATTTCTTTTTTTTTTTTTTTGTATTCTCAGAAAAGTCCAATGATTTGGGAGTACCATAAGCAAAGTAATTTTTTTTATTTTACAAAAATAATCAAGTTTCAGACTACATTCTGCGAAGATTACATATAAATATAAAAATGAACCAAATCGAAGGATTTTAAGATAACCTTCGAGTAGACTACATTAGAAGCTGTTCAAAAAGCATTAACAAAACGAAAAAAAATCAGAGCTTCCTCACAAGGTAAATATTTAAAATACATAAAAACAACCCCGAAATGCGCATGTTAAAAACATGCATCATTTATATATAATTATGGTTTTTTACTTTCATTTTCACAGTTTAATGCTTTACCTTTTTACATACTACATGATGATGAATCATTTTCTAGATCTTATAAAGTGCATCATACGATGTGAAAAAACAAATCACGTATTTTCCACAACCACAATGTGTATGCACATTTACTAGAAACGGAAGAAGGAAGTATATATATATCGAATGTTATACAATCAAACTATATAAAAATTTCATATTTTCTTGAGCACTCTGCTAGGAAAGGACGGTTGTAAGTGAAATTTAATTATGGAAAAATTATTATTTATATTTATATATAAATCTGTTATTTAACTTATTCATTTCTATTTTTTATTTATGTAGGTTTTTTTATTTTATTTTTTATTTATTTCTTTGCATTTGATATTCAGCTCATTATTTATTTGATTTAATTTATTGATTTCCACAGATTCTATTTAGAATGCCTGGTGAACAACTGACGTGCATTTTACAGATTGCACACTCCAAATTCGGAGGGATTTCCCTCCAACGGGAGACACTATCGCGTGCTTTTTCTGCCATTGGCTTAACTAAAACACTTCGCTTCACAAAAAAGGAATTCTCAAAGGAACTACGTGACACTGTCACTTTTCCAGAGCTGAAACAATTTATTCTGTCAAAGCGAGATGAAAAGAGCACTGAGTTAGAGATACAAGACAGAATAGAACTGGCATGCTGGAAGCTTAGTAAAAGTGACTTCCCTAGACGGCCATTTAGCGAATCTGACTTATTCAAATTGTGGCAGATCTTCAATAGGCTGGCAGATGAAGATTCCTATCCACCTGTGATATCGCAGCAAGATTCATGCTGGGTCTTTGAAAAATTTGTGACTGGTGCCAACAAGGATAGGGAAATATCGATTGAAAAAAGAGATTTAACATTTCACAATTTTCTTTCATGTCTAGAAAATATAGGTGATCCGGAGGCAGTTTCTAAGGCGACGAAGGATATCTATGAATGGTTGGTAAGAGAGGTCGTTAAAGGGGGGTGGATGTATGTGAGGAATACGAGAAGATTCAACTGGTCATCCTGGACGAGAAAATGGGTTACTTTGACTCCTGGTAAAATACAGTTCTCTGGAAAGAAGATAACGGACCATTCCATTGATAAAATTAAAGAGAGGTTCTACGTTTCAGACCAAACGGTTTTTGAAAAATGCGAAACTTCGATTAAAGGCATGAAACATGTTATCCATGTATCACAGGCTCCCATATTCGAGTGTTATTTTGCTGCTACTGATGACAACGAAGTGGAACAATGGTTGGCCGCAATGAAAGAATCCTTGAAATATTGCACCGTAGACATAAGCCCAGTTCGGTTAATTCTGAAGAAAACGAGCTCAAAGGATTCGGAAGATTCACTAAATCAACGTGCCAAAACGCGCGAGAAGTCTTTCGTTCGGTCCAAGACACGAAAAATTGAAAGAAAAAAAGAAAAACAAAAGGGGAAAATGAATCCAAATGTTAAGAAATCTTTATATCAACTGCAATCAAAAGACAACGAGGCCAACACTAAAGATAAAATAAAAGCTGTGTTTTTAGAACTGGATCATGACGGCAATGGGTATTTGGACGAAAAGGAATTTTCAGAGGCACTGAAACAATTTGGTTTGGAGATGACAGAGACAGAGGTACGTCAAATATTCAAAGCCATAGATGTAGATGATAATGGAAAAATTGTCTTTCAAGAATTCTATGACTACTTCATAGAAAAAATTTTGAGCGAGGAGAGTTCAGCTCTGGCAAAAGCGTTCACTGAAGCTGATAATAACAAAAATGGAACTGTAAATTTCAGAGAGTTTTCCGAATTTGTGAGAAATAGGCATAATTCCGTAGGCCTCGACAAGGTTTTGTCAGTGTTTGACAAATTATGCTCAGACGATTGTAAAGACGAACTGTCATTTCAAGATTTTCAGTGCATGTCCTTTCTCGATGAGCTTGGCATTCTTCAAGATGCATCAGAAAATTTTGAAGCCCAGTTAAAATCCCACTTTGATGCAAGCAATACTAACGCTCTGCAAGAAAAAATCAGAAAACGTTGGGAAAAATTTGCATCCTTCAGACGTAAGGGAGATAATGGTGGTTTGGTAATGACCGGTGGGAGTGGAATCGTCGACGATATTGTACCAGGAGAATACAACCTCACTGACCTTGCTAACTTCGTCGACTTACCACAACTACTGCCGAAAATGACCATCATACAAAGAGTGACCTGGGAGTCAAGTAGTATTCCAAACACATCGGGGAACCTCTTATTCCCATCAGACTTCACCGGTAACATAGAAGTTGAAATCGCCACAACAGAGCTTTTAGGGTACTACGGATGTACATTTGCCGACGGTAGAAAAGAGAAAGTGTCGCTTCCATACCGTCATGCTATACAAGACTTCACTTACAAAGACGGGTATCTCTCTGATTATGTAGAAAAGAAAAATGGAGGAGCAGGATTGGAGAAACATGGCTTCTTGCATGTTGATTGTCCTCTAGACGATGATTCTGGCTATTTTATTCTAGGGAAACTAACTGAAGACGAACTGCGAGTCACGGCTTTTAAGATTCCAAAGAGGCACACCCTGTTCGTCCCCGGGAACTGTATTCATTCTAATGATTACCTGAAGGGGACATGGCGAACTATGTTGTCTGATGAAACCAATATTGACCATGTTCATCTGCTCAGAAAATCGGATAATGATGAGAAACCTACCTGGGAACCATTCACATTTACGTTTGAAGCATAATATTTTTTGGGTTGCAGTTGTTAGAGAAAGGTAGACAATGCAAAGTAAATGAGAAGTTTCTCTAAGAAAGACTTTGAATTAGTGCTAGGACAGAAAAATATGCATTCTGTATAATGCGAAATCATTTGAACATAGTGTCCGAAAAAGTGTCAGATTGCAAAAGTGAAAAGCAAGGATACTGTGAAGTGGGATTTTTTTAAAACTCGAAATTCGTTTGGTTGAAACAGATAACACAGGTGTAGACAGCTGTTTTATTTTATTTTTGTCATTGCTTTGTTCTATTTATTCTTTTCCAAAATTTTATTTTATTGCATTATCTTTATTTAGCTCGACCATAATAAAAAAATATTTCTACTTGTATAATTTACAAGAAGCTGTAGATTTTACTGTATATCTAATCCAATTGTTTAAATTATTTTCAAGGTTTAAAAATATTTCACTTGAGAATGCTTGCATGGTTTTTTTGTTTTTTGTATTTGTTTTATTTTTAACTGCAACTGCCTTTATATGTAGTCGATTTGTTTGTTTGTTTGGTTTATTTTTTTTTTAGTTATATATGTTATGTACCTTCCTATTTTTAGCTTTGAATTAAAAATTGAGAAATTGTTTATTATATTTGTAAATGGTTTTAGTGGGTGCAAAAATATGTAAAACTGTGTCATCTAAATATCAGAATAAATCAATTCGTCTATAGTATATGTATACATTCGGAAGCATTATGTTTAAATGTTCTTCAAAAAATAGATTTCCTCTTATAGAAGCAAATTAAAATTTAAAAATGCCTTTTTACAGCCTCATCTGAATACATATTGAAAGACATTCAGAAATTCCAAGTAACGTGTACTAAATAGAAGAAGGGCAGAATAATAAAATGTCTAGAAGAGATAAACGAAAAGTACGTTTTATGAGTGCCTTTTATGTAGGTTAACACACATACAATTTAAAGTTAACAATCAAATGCTTGTTAAAAGAAACATGAACTGCATTGTATCACAAACTAGGGCATAGTTACAAAATATTCTGCATTTATTACATTTTTACCCGTGAAATACTGTAATTTATTTATTGAATAAAAATGATATCCTGTCACACTGTGAAATGATATCAAAATGATATCCTGTCAAAGTGTGATGAATATCAGAAGTGCGGGAAAACTCTCGATTTCCCTTTCCATAACGAAGATTGCTGTAAAAAAAATCTTCCTTGACCTAGTATAAGATAGATGAAAATAAATAAACCACTCTGACAGCGAATAAAATGGTTAAAATAACCAAAAATATGTTGCTAAATCCATGTTTACAGTGTTTTCACCTCATATAGCTATGACGTCTCAACCGCTCAACTATGACGTCACGAGCCTATGACTGTATTTACAGAAAGACAGAGTCAAAGGAAAAATCAAAGAATTTTATTTTAAAAATGTAATAAACAGAAAATTCAATGTTTTGTAGTTGCATATGGAATTTATTTCACTCGTGAGACAGGATTTTTGATATTTTCACTCGTGCTTCGCACTCGTGAAAATATCAAAAATCCTGTCCCACTCGTGAAATAAATTCCATATGCAACTACAAAACATTGAATATCCTCTATTTATTAAACCTCAGAGTACGTCTGTACTGTTATTTGATAAACATAGAGCTCTTCACTGTCCTTAAGCATAAATATAGCAATATTTGTTTACAAATGTATATTAACTTAAAATCAAGAATTCAAAACACATTAAGTGCCACAAAACATGGAAAATCATTAAGAATTTTACTTCCTTTAAAATTTAACTTTACTTTTTTATCAGCTCTAAAACACCCCGCTTTCTGAATTTTAAATTTTAAATGTCCATTAGAGATTTTATAAGCATTTTTTTATTTCATCATCTTAACCATTTTTTCCTGATGTTCAGTTTTTTTTAGTCATAATTGCTTTTCCTTGTACCCTAGTATGAAGTAAAGGGGTTTCCTTGTATTTTTTCTTTAAAAATCCGGAGAGATAAGTTATCATTAAAATCGAAATGGAGCTTGATCACGACTTGTATGTAGCACTGTGTTATCGACGGGAATCTGTGTTGCGAGGATGGGTTGATTTTAAGATAGAAAAATTCGGGTTTTGTCAATTACTTCAATTCTAAGAAGATATTTTTGTTAACTTTTACGCTGTAAACAACCCAGTCAAAAAGTGTTTTATATACTTTGTATAGGTTTTTGTTATTACAAATGCATGAGAGAGGGAGTGAGATCGATTAAGAGGCCATTGTGTTAAGTATGATTTGTCTCGCGTTATAAAAAATTATCTTGTGATTAAATCCACAGATAGCTAATTTAAAAGTAGATTGGATTTTAACCTCTCCCCTCTTGAAACTACAAGGATTTCCCGTACATGTGCATATCAACTTAATATTTCTTACTTATTAGGAGAATACTTAAAATATCTTTACCTCGAAACTTCGTAAGTTAAGATTACATTAACACATATTATATAGCTGCTTGAGATAAATTAACCTGAATCTGCTGGGAAATCCATATTTCCCATAAGTTCACAAAAGTGCAGAGAGAAAGATTTTTATGTTTTACCTATATATAGTTAAATGTATCTCATACATATCAAGTTCTTTATTTTGAAAGAGGTGCATTATCTTAAACCAAACAAAATACTTTATTTGGAGAAAAAAATTGTATTTGTTGATGGGTTCGGTAAGCACAGGGGCGTGTGTTCTGAATTTTAATGCTGTGAAAATTAACACATCAATTTAAGCAATAGAATATGGGGGTAAAACTTAAAGTCCAAGGAAAGAAAAAAAATCGAAAATATTTAAATTTATTCTCATGGTTATCATAACTGTACCGTTTTGTACAATTTTTTTTGCAATTTTATACTAATATACCAATCGTGTATCTGCATTTATCGTTTTTGCGTTTATCCTGTTATGCGGTTTTTACTGCTTTAGTGTTCACTTTTATCATGAGTTTACAAGATTAGATGTACCATTATTCTGAAATCTGTATCATCATATTTTTGCGAATCTTTAATCATATCGTATATATCATGTCAAGAATAAAACTGCGGGCACGTTATGTCCATATATGATACTGCGCATACCGGGTATTATGATACTAGATTAAAATTCAATTATTTGTCAGCAATGTGCATTTAATGCCTACTGCAGTAGCAGTGAATTGCAGTCCCAGTCAACACAAGCTTATTTGCCACAAGTGAACAATTGGCTGTGTGAAATTGAGAACAAAAAGTTATTTCAGATGATGGTCTTAAGACTTTAGTAAACCTAACTCTGAAATAACCCATTCCTTTATTTAAAGTGATGACCAAACTTCCAGGTATAAGTGAACCACAAAGACTTCGAAATAAACGCGGTATAAGCTAAATTCAGTAACTTAAAGAATTGCATGTAAGTAATCCAAGGATTTGTTTTGGGTTTCTTAATAGATAGCAAAGAACTGGTTATAAGCAAACTTAGACCAAGAAATATCAAACTCCGAGCACAGAGCAGCAAACGAGGGCAAACTGATGTCATTGAATTACAAAAATGGTAAACCTGTACTATGATTCCATTATTAACCTAAAAGCAAGATAAAGGACAAATTATTGTTTGACAGAGTTTGTCAGAGTACCTAGAGTTGTTGCAGCAGGTATCCTTGTAACAATTGACATAACTTAGTACATGTGTTCTTGTCAGCTACGCCTGAATACACAAGACATTTAGAAACCCCAAGTAACGTGTACTAAATGAAGAAACAAGAAACAACTGAAAGCTATGACAAACTTTTTTGGAATACTCAGCAAAGCAGATAGATAGAATAATATAGAAATGTCTAGAAGTGGTAGAATTGCGTTCAATGATTCTCTCATGCAGGCTATCTTGTTGACAGACATACTAACAAATTCTTGTTTAAAGACACATGTTCTCAATTGTATCACACACCAGGGCATGAAAACAAAATGTTCTCTGCATTGTATTTCGTATCAAGTTAATTGAACAATATTTTAAGGTAGCTCTTCACTGTTCTAAACACAAATATGACAATATTTCGTTACAAATGTTTGTTTACATTTCTTGATTAATTTTTTTAATCGTTTAAACCACTTTACAAGCTACAAACTATATTTTAAAAATCATTAAGACTTTAACTTCCTTCAAATGTATCGTTTCTTAAAGCCGCTTGGTCTGATTCTAATCGCTAAAAATATACATTCGTTTTTCTTCTCGAAAAATAATTGTCCATAAATTGTTTAAACTTTTGTCAAATTATATCCCCAAAGTCTTTTTCCTTTAAAAGATATCAAAATTTAAAAAATTAATTTTTGTTATGTCACACAAAAAATAATCCTATGTTGATCATTGTTGATATCGCGTGAAATCACCTTCGAAAAATTAAATTTATCGCTTACATGTTTATCTCATGAAGAACAAACCCAAGCATTGTTTCACAACAAAGTACATATATTACCTGTACACGGACAATATTTTAGCTCCTTTAAAAAAATCATTTAAAAAATCTGATTTTCCTTTATCTCTAAATATGCATATTAATATGAAAATTACTATGGATTTTATTCAGTTAATTTTAAAAAGATATATCATGACTTAGTATTCTACTAATAGAAAAAAAATACTCGGGTTTGAATTCTCTTCATTATTAGATATATCCGATAAACTTATTTTTTTTCAAAATTGACTTCACAGCAGATCTTAACTTCCGTCAGGAACTACTGTTTGTCAATAAGGTTTTTGATCTGCGTTTTCCATGTAAGGATTGTTGTAATAACCTATTAAATCAATCTTATAATTTATTTTTATATATCATCTATGTAATGACGTACTTTTATTGTGTAAGATAATATGTGCCTGTTTCGGGTTAAGCGGCTTTAAACACCGCTCCTTCAGACTTTCATATTTGTCCATCAATTATTTGTTAAAATTCAATATCCTTTTTTGAAGAATAAGATTAGCTCAACCATTTTATCTGATGTTAAGTTTTTTTTTAATTCATTATTGCCTTTTCTTGTACCCTTGTATGAAAGATAGGGGTTTTCCCGGCTTTTTTTTTTTAATCCAGAGAGATGAGTATCGTTACAAACTCGAAGGAGCTCGAGCACCGTGGGGATCCGGGTTAGAATAGGTCCTCAGTACCCCCTTGCTTGTCATAAAAGACGACTAAATGGGGCGGTTCTTCGGATGACACCGTATAAACCGAGGCCCCGTGTCACAGCAGGTATGGCACGATAAAGATCCCTCCCTGCTCAAAGACCGTAAGTGCCGAGCATAGGCCTAAATTTGCAGCCCATCACCGGCGATGGTGACGTCTCCATATCAGTGAAATATTCTGGAGAGGGACGTTAAACAGTTACAATCAATCAATCAGTCGAAGGAGCTCAATTACATCTTTAT